TCATCTCGTCACCTTCAGTTGGGCACGACTCGAGAAATAACTGCTGTAGCCAATGTAGCGGTCGACGAAGATGGGGCGCTGTAGCTGTGGCTGCCGCAGCACAAATAGCAACCCGATTGGTGGAAGACGCTGTAGTCGATGTACCAGTAGCTGATGCAGAAGAATCTAAGCATGTAGCAGCATCCAAGAGAGGCAACGACGAATTCAGGTGCGCGCACGCGTGTGTGTGTGTCTGTGTCCGTGTGTGTGCGTGTGTGTGTACTTTCCAATGCACGACCATCGGGTAGCAAATTTGGGAAACGTGGAAGGAAAGGATATAAACGACGAGAAGAACGGAAAATTATTTAAAACATTGCAAAATAAATTTAAAATATGAAGAGACACAGATAGATAGATAGATAGATAGATTTGAAAAGACTGTATTAGATATCGAACAAAATTTCGATTTATACATACATATATATATATATATATATATATATATATATATATATATAGATAGATAGATAGATAGATAGATAGATAGATAGATAGATAGATAGATAGATATGAATACACTGAGACAGACAGCATGAAAAGACTGTGTTCGATAGATAGATAGATAGATAGATAGATAGATAGATAGATAGATAGGTTTGAACAGACTGTATTAGATATTGAACAGACTTTTATATATATATATATATATATATATATATATATATATATATAAATACATATTTATATATATATATATATATATATATATATATATATATATATATATATATATACAAGTGTAGATAGATAGCCAGAAAGACTGCTTTAGATAGATATTGGACAGACTTAGATAGATAGATAGATAGATAGATAGATAGATAGATAGATAGATATTGGACAGACTTAGATAGATAGATAGATAGATAGATAGATAGATAGATAGATAGATAGATAGATAGATAGATAAGTATGAATACACTGAGACAGATAGGTAAATAAGCATGAAAAGACTGTGTTAGATAGATAGATAGATAGATAGATAGATAGATAGATAGATAGATAGATAGATAGATAGATAGAAACAGAGGGTGGAATACTGATATATATGCATACGGATAGTGATAGAACAACAGAGAGATAGCTTTATATTTTTGAATTGGTTGGGAATATTATTATAGGTGCCTGAGAGTATGAACAGAATTGGAAGAAAGAAAGAAAGAAAGAAAGAAAGAAAGAAAGAAAGAAAGAAAGAAAGAAAAGGAAAGAAAGAAAAAGAAAGAAAGAAAAACTAACAAAGAAAACTAACAAAACAAAAGAAAAAGTCAAGCAAAAAAAAAGAGTCAAGAAACATTGAAAAAATAAATAAAAAAGAATGAAAACATTTGAAAGAAAGAAAGAAAGAAAGAAAGAAAGAAAAGAAAGAAAGAAAGAAAGAAAAGAGCAAATCTCGTAGAAGGGGAAATACAATGAAAGAATAAATTAAGGAAAGAAAGACGTGAGGTCGATAGCGAAAGAATGAAAGAAAGAGAAGCAAGAAAGATAAAGAAAGAAAGAAAGAAAGAAAGAATAGAAAATGAAATAGAGGCGAAAGAAAAAGAGAATGAAAGAATAAATTAAGGAAAGAAAGACTTCTAAATGAAATAGAGAAGGAAAGAAAGAAAATACGTGGGGATATAATAAAATTTGGAAAAGAAAGAAAGAATGAAAGAAAGTAACAGAAAGAATATATTAAGTAAAAGAGAAGATTAAATGAACGAAAAGAAGAAAGAGAAGAGGAGTGAGAGTTAAAAATGAAAGTAAAGAAGAAGAAAAATAAAAAGCACAAAAAGAAAAAGTGAAAATTGAATGAAAATGTAAACGAAATAGAGAAAAACACGAGGAGAAAAAGGAAAGAAAGAGAAGAAAAATATGGAAGAAGGGGAGGATCTAAAGAAAATAAAGAAGGAAGAAAATAAGAAAAGGGTGAAGAGAAAAGAATAAAAAAGAGGAGATAGACGGAAAGGCGGTAAAAGAAAAAGAGATAATGAAAGAAAGAATGAAAAGAAGGAGAAAAATGGAAGGATGGATAAAAGAACAAAAGAAAGGGAAAAGCCATTGAAAGAAAGAAAAAGAAGAGTGAACGAATGAAAGAAAGAGAAGCTAAAGAAAGAAAGAAAGACAGAAAGAAAGAAAGAAAGAAAGAAAGAAAGAAAGAAAGAAAGAAAGAAAGAAAGAAAGGGAAGGAAGAAATAAAGAAAGAGGAGAGCAGACGAACGAATGAAAGAGAAGAAAGAAAGAAAGAAAGAAAGGGAAGGAAGAAATAAAGAAAGAAAGGGAGACGAACGAAATAAAAAGAAAGAAAGAAAGAACGAAAGAAAGAAAAGAAAGAAAGAAAAGAAAGAAAGAAAGAAAGGAAGGAAGAAATAAAAGAAAGAGAAGAGCAGACAAACGAATGAAAGAGAAAGAAAGAAAGAAAAGAAGAATAAAGAAAAGAAGAAACGAAAAGAAAGAAAGAAAGAAAGAAAGAAAGAAAGAAAGAAAG